ACTCCGTAATCAGAGGCGTCCGTATGAATTTCTATAGGGAGATTACTACTGAAATGATGCAAGACTGGAAAATTAATTAATCGCGTTTTCAATTCGTCAAAAGCCTTCTGCTCGACTTCAGTCCAAAGAAATTTTGTGTCTTTTCTCGTCAAAAGAGTCAGTGGTCGTGCAATGTCAGCAAAAGATTTTATGAATTTACGATAGTAGTTACAAAGACCCACGAATGACTGTACATCTTTGACTTTTTTAGGAACTTGAAAATTAGTGATTGCCAAAAGTTTGTCCGGGTCAGGGGACAAACCTTCTGTACTTGCAACGTACCCTAAAATTTTGACTTGTTGAAACCCAAAAGAACATTTTGATGGTTTTAACTTTAAATTTGCTTGTCTAAATCTCTCTAAAACAGAACGTAACTTATCGAGATGATCCTCAAAATTTTCTCCCTTGATTAAAACATCATCTAAATACACAATGCAAGTATTGTATTTCAACCCTGACAGAACTTGGTCCATACATCTTTGAAAGCATGCTGGACTTGACGCGAGGCCAAAAGGTAGGACTGTGAATTCATACAGCCCTTCAGGAATTATGAATGCAGTTTTTGGTCTATCTTTTTCGGCGATATTGATCTGCCAATAGCCTGAGAACAAATCGAGTGTCGTATAGAATTTAGAACCTTCTAGAGCGGAGAGCAAATCATCAATGACTGGTAATGGATACGAATCACTTTTTATTACTTTGTTTAATTTTCGATAGTCGACACAAAAACGCCAGGACTCATCTTTTTTCCTAACTAGAACTACGGGTGAAGCCCACGGACTATAGGATTTTCTGATAATGCCTGCATTTAACATTTCCTGTACCTGTTCGCCTATTATTTCGCGCTCCCTCGTACTCAGTCTATAAGGTGGTAAGTGAACAGGATTTGCGTTTCCCGTTTCTATCGTCTGTTCGCAAACGTTTGTCCTTCCTAACTCATAATTACTAGTTGCGAAAACATCTGCAAATTCATTCAATAAATTCATCATTTTTTGTTTATCTTGTGTAGATAAACTCTCGTTAAGCTTAATGCCCATTTCTGAAACATCTGTGTACAAGATTTCTTGGTCATTAAGAACAACAGAACCGCCGCATTCTGGATCATCCTGTATAAAACAGGGAAAGACATTATGATTTCTTTTAACTAACATTCCTTCGACATTTCTATTTTCAAAATGCGAGCAATCCTTTAACCTTGAATTTTCCTTGGCTATACCTAAACAAGTATTTTTATAAATTTCTATATCGATTCCCGTGTCATTTGTTATGAAAAAGTACCGCTTCTCGTAATCAACCTTAGCAAGCTTTAAACCTCTACTTCTGAAATATCTGAAACACGGCTCATATTCCGTGTTTTCATAACATGAAATTAAAACCTTTGTCGTACTTTGCGACGGCAAAGTGATATGGCCAGCGCAACGGATTTTATCGTCTCTAGTGGGTGTTACATCAAAACAATATGTTTTATTTGCGAATTTGAAATTGTATACTCTACTATTTAAACTAATTCTGACAGATTCAGTCACGAAATTTATCTCAGTTTTGTATTTCTTATTGAAATCATTTCCTAGTATTACTTTATTTCCAAAATTATTAACTACTAAAAATTCATGTGTCAAGGCAATACCGCCAATTTTGAACTCTAATAAACATTTACCAATGATCCAAAGAAAATTTCCACTAGCTGATTTAACTTTCAGATTATTTACGTTTTCTAATTCAACACCTGTTCTAATAAAATCAGAATCAATCAAGCTGATTCCGGCCCCAGTATCACATATAAAATCAATATTTTTACCAAAAATACTACCAGTAACTTCGATAGGTGCGGGAAAATTGTTTGACTTTAATTGAAAAATTGTTATTTCTTCCAAATTTCGTTTTTTGAATCTACAAGTTCTCTTTTTATGCCCCAGACAGCTACAATAAAAACAACTAATTTCTAAATTTTCTTTATGATCTAAACGAGTGATGCCACTATTTTGTTCTAGTGGCCTGACTGGCCGTTTTTTGGACAATTTCTGGCGTAGTGACCAGGTTTATTGCATTTAAAACAAACCACCCTTCCATCGGGTGTACGTGGTTCTTTTTTGACTTTAGAATCGTAAAACCCTTTATTCCCGTACCTATCTCTGTTATTATCCCTATAATAATGTTGAGCGACTAACCTATTTTTTGGAAAATTCTCCAGCTGTTGAACCCTGCGTCTGAGCTCCTCCACCTCTTCCAAGGCACTCTTGTTCGTCCTGCTGCTTGGCCGGTCCTGTCGGTGATCCTTTTCGAGGGATGTTCCAGCTCCAACCATGAATTCTGTGGCTTCTATCTTCTTCAAGTTACCTCTGAACTGCTCCATGGTTGTGTTGTTCATCAGATTCACCTTTTCCAAGATCTTCGGTCGTAGTCCTCTGAGAATAAATCCGATTTTCTCCATTTCCGGCATCGCTGCGTTGACATTGTGACACAGCTTCGTCATTTCGTGAAAATAGGCCCACACGTCTTCTCTGTCACTTTGGGTTCGGTTCAGCAATCGGAAATAATTCTGCTCCTTTTCAGCTGCGTTATCGAAAGCTGATTTCAGTCGGTCCTCGATTTCTTCGAAAGTAGCACACCCTTCTTCGATTGTTTCGTAATAATCAAGAGCTGCTCCTTCGAGGTAGCATGGTAACTGAATCATTTTTGTGGCTTCTGTCCATCGGTTCGCCCTTGCTGCCCTCTTGAAATACTTCAAGAATTCTGTAACGTTTTCCCCTGGCTTACCCGCAAATGATCTTGGGTTGACGGACGTATAGACTTCCTGGGGTGGTGCTTCGTCTCCCATTATTTCCGGCTGTGTCTCTGTGGTTTGTCTAGAGCTCGGTCTGGAACTCTCAGAGTTCGTTTCAAAGTTTTCTTCGTCCGAGCTTGAGCTTTCCGATGGGCTTTCTCTAGATGCTTCTTCGTTACTTGGCTGATGTTCTTGTTTCTTCTTCCTGAATCTTGTTAGCATGGATGTGCCTCCTTGGCACGAACACTTGATTTATTTCAAATCACTGGGAACTGCACGGCGCTTCCACCACTTGTTACGTTGGCCTTAGGGGCTACTTTTGAAATAGGGGTTTTGGGTACAAAGTATACTTGTTAGGTATAAAGCCAGAATACTGAATCTTTATTCGAGTTGCCAATTAGATGGTATTATTACAACTGACAATTGTACATCATGTTTTACAAGGTGTAACTTTGCATGGTGTCCCTCCGACCCCGCACACTTGCTGAGCAAGCCCAAAAGACGTCGTCGTTGGATACACGTTGAAGTATCGGGAACAGTGGCGTATCGCGACAATATGTTGATTGTTTTGCATCGATGATATTTCCAATCAAACCATCGAAAACAAGAAGATATATCTCTCGTGTCTTGATCGAAAAAAATGTTTTGTTTTGGGGTTACTTTGCTCCGGAGCAACAAAAAGAACAGACTCTCTCAGACTATGTAGTACAGGAAATCAATCACCGTTAGTACCGTTCAATTGAAAAATTAAGTTCGGGAAATAAGAAGTTCTGTTGTGTTCTTCTACCAAGGATCATTTGATCCTGGAAAAACTGTGAGCTTTCATGAAAGCGAGGTAATTAGTTCCATGTAGATGAAAATGTGAAAGTGTCCTTCTGAACCAGATAGAATGTCTCATTCTTCGAATGATGTTCTGGGCTCCATAAATCCGCCATAGCAAATCACTAAAGGTGGATTCATGCAAGCAAAGTTTCAAAATCAAATGAATTTTAAACTTAAACAAATAATATGAAACTATAGAATATAATCTAGGTGCTCATGCAAGGAACTAATAAATTCAAACTAGAATTGAAACTAAGAAAGGCCAACATTCAACTAAGAAATTAATATCTTCCATAATTCATGACAGCTCATGCGCCTAATAATAAATAGCCGCGCTGGAAAAAGATTAAACAGCTGAAAGGTTATTGCATGAACACCCATATATTTTCAATTTAAAATTCGTTCAAATCTTGAATTCATTATAATCAAGTTGATGCTGCATGAATCCACCTTGAAAGTGGCCTTATTTGAAGTTCCTGAATGAATACTTTTCAGATTGATTTTCCACCGTTTTCAAGCAATTTGAAAAAGGTTTCCTTCACGTTCTCCGTAGTTTCAAGATGAATAGTAAATGTTTTCCTCTTGTATCATTGAGGTTAATTAGAAAGTAGCAATCCTATTTCCTTCAGTGTTGAACAATTTAGACCCTGACATGCTAGTTTTTTGAATTTCAGGTTGCACTTAAAAACGATTAAATTTTTTTAAACTTTTTGCATAATTGGACATGAAGCAATAATCAGTAACCTCTATTTTATCTATGATAGGAAATCAACGAACATCCTTAATTTTTGAAAGCCTTTCTCCCATCATTTCCCAAATGTGTTCAATGAAACGAAGTAAAATAACCACTAGCTTCGCTCATCGTACTCCAAACAACGCGTGCGACAAGATAGTGTCTTATGAAATGAATAATAACGAGCTCTATTTGATACAAATTAACCTCAGAGACGAACAAAAACTACCAGGGAGATTTGATGGTGTCAAATGGTATCAGCCACACACAAGTGTTGACATCACAGTATAACTCCAATGATTGATAATTTGCGTGCTCTTATAGTATTCCCAAAATATAAAATTTTCATGTTAATTCATCAACTACAGAACACTTTCGTGACTACCTCTAATCAATTTCTCTATCTCTCGGGTTCATTGAAAGTTTAATTAATTCCCAGTGATTAGAGTCATCAGCCTTTTTCTTACTCGTCCAATTTTCATACAGCCTGTCAGGAACATTAAAATCAATCTGGCTTCAATAAATGCCACACGGCACTGGATACAATTATCTTGTGTAAATACGGAATAATAATTACATCCACAATTGGCTGCTATAATGCATGGAATTGAATTCTCTATGGTCTACAACAGGTGTATCAGAATGAGGTAATTTTAATACATTTTCTCTTGCGCATAATCTGTGAACATTCATCATTTCAGGTTGGAAAGCATTCTTCTACCAGTCTGTCTATTATTTTCTGTGTTTTTCAAACATTCAGAAGCAGAATGTGATATATCTGGACATACTTTCATATGCACTAATGAGGAACAGAAGTCGATAATATATCAGTACAATCTCAAGAATACTGAGGAGGGAAATATCAACATCACTGCTATTGAGATTTTGAATTCAAGTCTTCCAGCTATTGGCGATTTCCTGAATTCTTTAGAAGATGAAGTGACACGAAACGTGAGAGAAATCAAACTGAATCATTGTGACATCCGAAATATTTCTGAGAATGCTTTTTCTAATTTTGAAGCTTTGGAGGTACTCGATTTGAACAATGATGAAATAGAGAGCATACATTTCCTAAAGTCAATTCCAAAGTCTCTGAGAGAAATTCACATGAAGTCTAATAAAATTCGAGAAGTTCCAGATATATTCTCCCAGCTGGAGAATCTTCAAATTGTTGACTTTAGTAACTGCAGCATCGAAAACTTGGATTTCACTGTTTTCAAAAATAACTTGAAACTCAATCTAGTGAATGCATCTCACAATAACATTAAAAGTTCTGTATCAGGAGAATACTTGAAGAATATAAAATGCGTTGATTTGAGTCACAACGAGTTATCAAAGTACGATAATATACCTTCGTATTGCTTGGATTTCAGTGCTACAAATATGACAGGTTACCAGTGGTACAATATCTCTGCAAAAAACACAACCGTCTTCATTGATACCTTCTTCTACTCTGGCAATCAGCATTTACGTCTCACAGCATTGAATAAGATGAATGATACTCTTCCAATCGAAATACAATACCTAAATATCTCAAACTTCCAAGGAAAGATTCCATCTGATCTGGATCTACAAAAAATCAAAGTGAGAAGAGAGTTGATATTGAAAGATTCAAAGATTCTCTCCTTGGAAAAATCCAGCTTCGATTTCAAACCACTATTTTTTGATGAAGGGACCAATGCATTATTCGACCTATCTTCTTGTTCCATCAGTAACGTATCTCCTCTCTATTTCGAAAAATACAATTTGGGCACATTGAATTTATGTCACAATAAATTCAAATCCCTGGGATCTTCCGTCTTCAGAGATGCTTACATCATAAAGTTAGATTTGTGTAATTCCACTATCGAAACAATTGATAAACAAGCATTTGAAAGGTTACATACGCATACATTGAACTTATCTTTCAATTCAATCGATGAACTAGAATTCTTGAGGAGTATTGGAGATATCCACGTTCTAGATCTATCACATAATGCTTTGAAAACGATACCTTCCGGAACCTTCTTCAATTTGAATAATATGAAAAGTCTAGATTTGAGCTACAACTTGATAGATGTCATTGGGGAAAATAGTTTTCATCACAATAAGGTTGAAATCATATTCGTCAATAACAATAAATTGGAATCTATAGAAACTGGAACATTCAAGGATATTCCAAATTTGAGAGAAGTTTATCTGCAAAAAAATCCTATAAGTATTATTGAAGCAAATGCCTTCGAATATCTACCTAATCTCAGATTGATCCAACTAGGGAACACAGAAATCAGCGTTATCCAACCACATGCCTTCACTAATCTACAGAGCCTGAGAACACTATACATGAATGATAACAGACTGGTAAATCTACCTGCCCAAATATTCTTGAACGTACCAAATCTTGAACAACTGGACTTGAGTGGAAACTCTCTGGAGGTAATTGATGGTTTGAAAGGATTGAATCTAGAAACTCTGAGGCTGACCGTTAACGATAGGTTTCACTATGATGAATTCCACATGCCAACTCTTAAATACATATATATAGTTGATTCAAACCCTCAGAACATTCGCAACACAAGACTGTATAACCTGGAGAAATTGTATATCATCAGTTCACCGATAGCAGCTGAGCAACCACAAAGTTCTTCTGATGGTTATTCCAGAATGAAGCAGCTAGATGTATTTTCTAATATCAAGGTGATACCACAAGGATATGAGATCACTTGCTCGCCTCAGTCCGTCTGCTTTCGTCGTATATATGATTGAAGCAAAAGCTTTTTAAATACTACTATAATTGTGCTTTATAATTGAATGATTTGGATTATTTGAAAGCCATGACAAGTATAGAATACAACAAGTCTATTATCAAACGTAATGTTCATCCTATGCCCTCTTCTCCTGTTTTTCCTCTATTTCCTTGATTTCTTAAAATAATCACTCTTGGATATTTTTAGGTTAGAAACACTGTAATGTTGATGTTTCCAGGAAATTGCATAAAAGCATACCGCGAGTCCTATTCATATCTATGCAAATTTGATCCATCTCTTAAAGTGATTGTGAGTGTTACCGTTACTACACAGCAGACAGCTTTCGTCTTTTAACCTTATTTTTCTACGTGAAAGCTTGGCGAATGCGCCACTTATTGGTTGAACGAGTCAATTTTCCACATTTTACACGTCGAGTGAGTTGTTGGAAATTGTCTGTGTTCCATGGATATTAGAACGTTTTCTAGCTACTAGCAGTTCAAATGATATTATTTTTTCTGTGAATTAAAATATCTATCTCTTCATCCATCTCGAAAATTGTGCAGGAAACAAATGAATAATCGTGTACGCCGACATCTTAATGACTCTGTTGCCTACATGGACATAATTTCCAAATCTGAGAATAAGAGGTGATGATTGATTGATTGATTCCAGATAATCAATTCTGAATCCACAGATCACCTTCTCAAAGTCAAGACTAAGTAAGGTTCTGAAAAACAATGGAGTGTTCAGTGTTGGCATATGCAATGAAGGGAAAATTTTTAATCTTCAAGTTTTTGCTCCACTTTTGGCCATTCTAGTGTCTGTGTCTAGTATTTCCTTTTGTGATAAAATGTCTTGTCAGGTAAGTTGACTTTGAAATGTTCTCATTATTTATTCTGAGATCGGTTATCTGGAGGTTTACTTCAAACCATTGTGATGATCTAGCAGTTGCTTATGAGCAATGAGTATTCATTCTGGTATTCCTTCCTATTTCAGTGATTTTTGACTTCTTTGTGTGTTACTTCCAGGATTAATACCATGAGTGTTCGCAATACTATGGATAGTAATTCTGTCAGAGATCAACGAGATCCAATCCAGCGGACTCATGGTGTTAATTAAATTGTATAGTTGCACGAATTTTGTTAATTGAGACTTATACGGGGTGTCACGAAACTCAACGCCCGCTTCTAAATACTGAGTGATAGTCCATTGATGACTGACCAGGAATCAGAATATCACAATTGTGACCTCAGTGAAATATTGAAAGTTTTGCAGATATTGACACTTTTATGAAATTCGTGAAAAGAACCCTTTGATCAGTATTTCAAGTGCCGAAGGTACAAAACTTCATATTTTGAGATACTGATTGATTCTATTGATAACATTCCAGATCAAAAATATTGACGCAATACCTTCGAAAAAAAAACATGTTGGCACGATTCAACGAGTCAATTTATTTCAGACTCTTCCTACTGTGAACAAAATCACCACGCGAACCTGGCAAGTAGTGATTATTGATATGATACAACATTCACTAGCTTCCAATTGAGGGAAAAGGTTATTCCTAGTTTCAATTTTCGAAAAATTCATATCAATATCTCCAAAGCTATCGATATTTTACTGAGGTCATATTGTGAGACTCTGATCAATCATGATCTGGATCAGCCCTTCGAAGGATTACGTTGAGTTTTGGGACATTCTCTATAAAACTGTCATCTCCATGGCATACCATCAGGTGACGAGATATTTAGATTCGTGAGGAAGATGCAGCATACTATCAAGGCACAGTATTATGATTGAATCGCAGTTTCATATATATGTCGTGAAATTGTCCATGCCTAACAAAGACTATCAACTCTATTTTTGTATCAACTCAATCAGTTTCTCACAGATTTTCAAGTTTTCTTGAGATATTCTGAATATAAGAGATTTGATCCAATTCAGAATCCATTCAACGTGATTCTTCTCAGATCTGAAAAACATTTACTTCCTAGCAATCATCGAACTTCATTTGCTATCTTACTATATTTAGGAGCACAACCCTCGATGAGTATAATTTTGGGTAGGAAAAAGGTTCTTGCCCCAAATCTTATTTTGATCGATATATTTTTTTTAAAAGGTGCCTTTCTATAGAACACCTTGAGCCTTCTTAGGGTTCAAATTGAATCTACTTTTTTCGATAGCACCTTGTACACCGTGTCCCAGCTGAAATATCCCTCCCTGTAAAAAATTTATTCAATAGCATATTTCGAGTGAGCATCATCAAATATACTGGGTGACCAAATTTCGAGTCATTCGATCGCGCAGTTGATTTTTTACAGGGTAGGACATCTTAGCTGGGACACGGTGTATATCCAGCACGAATTGTAGAGCCCGTGAGTTTCGATATTCCTTACTGCGATTTATTATTTTGCAAAAATGTAAATTGTAGCGTCCCCAAGCCTGAAAGAAACTGAATGGTATTATTTCAACTCGACAGATCGGTTAGAATCACACGTGTATATTTGAGAAGCCTCTGGCTAAATAATGAATAGCATTGTACATTTCGAATGCGCCCGCAGACCGATTTGCCTCTTCTAATAAATGGCGCGGTTTGAAACACGTCATTTATCAGCCTTCGAGAAAGCCAGTGCAAAGGATTTTTGGCTAATTGATCACCTATCCAAACTAGATTGCCTCGATAAATTGCATTCATTTGGAAACTCTGGCTTCGAAGTGCATCACAAAAGCAGTCATCAATTCCGGGCAGACACTGTGGCAGGTCCTGCGGTCGAAACAGAAATAATGATCTCGGGGTTGATTGGGGCTGAGATCAATCAAACGATCTGCAATTGTGGTCGCAGCTGGGCCATCAGTCATCAATGGGAAATGTACATAAACAGATTATTGTGTCATGAGAGCTTTTTTTACCGAAGTGAAAATTACCAGTCCTACGACGGACTCGCTATTTTTTCTGGTAGTTTTTTGAAATGAATTCCTTGGATGCAACAAAATTCGAATTATCTCGCGACATTTCCACATATTTTATTCGTGGTCGTCAAGATCATGAGATAACATTTGAAAATATGGCAAACCTTTGGCATAGATTGCAACTTAGAAATGTTAGAATTGAAAATCGCAGAGGGCCTCATGATATTTCTAATGAGAACATTTTATATAGGGAGGAGATATATTGTCGATTATTCACATTATTTACTGTATATTTTGTTATTGACCAGTGGTAAAAGGAACGATTTCTCATATTGAAGATTACATACATAATTATCTGTTCAAGGGGTAAAAAACCAACCATAAATATAGTGCAGGAGATCAATATAAATCAAAATGCACACAGTAATCAATACTTATATGAGAATGAAATGACGCTCATATAGGAGTCAAATGATCATCATTACTATATCAAATAGTAATATTATGAAAATGAAATAAAACTCATATCAATATAATTTGCGTTCAATTTGATAGTTTTTCCAGAAAAATTATGTGGATTGAAGATCGTCGAGAGATATTGAAGACATTTCTACTTAGTACATATACTTACCCTCAAGTAGAGTTTTTTATTGAAATTACAGGGCATTGAAGTGTATCACAAGGGCGAGATACTCAATACACAATATCTCAATTTGCCGATAAAAATGCTTCCAATTTGGAGTATTTGTTCTTCTAGTCAATCTAGTCACTACTTTGGATTATTAGTTAACACATTTGCCAAAAATCAACACGATAGCGTTATAAAATAATGATTCATGAATCACGAAACGAAAACAAAAAACCTTCATTTTTTCTGGGGAATTGTTGTCTAGAATTCTTGTGAATTTTGAGGCAGCAGTCCAAGATAAGGATAGGGAGACATCCTTATCATGGTCATACTGTATATGCAATACAATCTATCACCGATATAACTGTGTGAATCCAAGCTTTTGCCACAAGAGTGAATAGTTAGGTAGTTTGAAAATACAAAATTTGATTCAAATTGGAAGAATTCCCGGTATATTACCGATTTATCGTGAAAACACTATAACGCCCTGATGCAGTTCAACTTCCTGTAGTTTCTCAACAAATCGGAGAGACAAAATTGGAGAGTGTATGAACAAATATGTCCCTGAAATTTCTAGAAGATCTCTCAACTACTTCAATTTTTCGAAAACAAAATATATCAACCTGTAAGAAGGGTTCCCGAGCTGCTGCCAGCTATAATATGAGTAGATTAACGATTCTGATGAGACAAGTGTTCATAAGTGAGTGAGATGGCTCATTGTGGTAAACGAGTATGACAAAGATGGTGAATGATGAAGAGTTGGAACTTGAATGATACTTGTATAACTGTGAAATGACATCTTTCAGGATTTAAATGATTATCTTTCGAATTCAATCTTCCAACTATAATCTTGTTTCATTTCAAATCTATGAGTTAACCTTTTTAGAACAAAAAGAGTGATTTGTGAAGGTGACCTGTTTCGCGTTGAAATCGTTGACTTTTCACGTTCATCAGATGACAATTAATGGTTAAAATGTCTGATTCAGCAGTTATAGGATGTTTTGAATAGAGATTTGTATAACTGGATTTTTATCGGTGTGGTTAGAATAGGAAAAAACGATTATCTGTATCATCTATCTTCGAATTCACAAGTATATATGGTTATGAATATGTTCAACATCACTTCACCTACGACCTCCTTCTAGATATTCGTCGGTGAATTAAACACACAGTATATAGTGTATAGTGTATATGGATACAATAGGTCGAAAATAGTTTCATTCTATCTAAGGATAACCTCTTGACAATCCTCCTGGTACCGCCACTGTCTCCGGTTTGGTAGACGACTACCCCGACGATTAGGGAGAATGGAGCAGATGGCAAAGCCTTTGGCAGTTCGCCGAAGACAGTTTTGGCAAAGTTTGACGAGCATAGACGCCGTGTTTTGTTTGCAGAAGGGAGAACTGCACGCCATCAACTACAAAGACAAACAGAATCTGTGTTAGCTGATGAGCAGCAATCTTGTTAATTTCATCTCGAGA